GCATGAGGAGATTTTTTCTCTGATATTTACTATGGGAATCTGGTCAAGATCCTGGAGGTAAACCTCAAAATATTGTGAGAGCCCCCATGACTGCTCCCACGTGGAGTTTTCAACTCTCAGACTTATCCACAGTTAGCCTCCAGCAATTTGTAAATTACAGTTCACATTTTACTACTCTGGCACTGGTTCCACAATGGTTTCTGCTCTTAAATCTCTGCACCAGTAATCTGTGACTTTTGTTATTTCCCTATCTATGTCCCTACTATGCTTTGCCCTATGTCCTCCCCTCTCTTACACATCCAAGAAAAGTTGCTGATTCTTCAGTCTGATCAGCTTTATACTTGCTGTTAGGATGGAGTGGTTATTTCCAAGCCCCTTACATTTGGAACTGGATATTGGAAGTCCTTGATGGAAAAAATGTTTAATTTTTTAATATTATTTTTATTGATTTTTTTAGAGAGAGGAAGGGAGAGGGATAGAGAGTTAGAAACATTGATGAGAGAGAAACATTGATCAGCTGCCTCCTGCATGCCTCCTGATGGAGATAGAGCCTGAAACCTGGGCATGTGCTCTTACTGGGAATCGAACCACAGACCTCTTGGTTCATGGGTCGATGCTCAACCACTGAGTCACACCAGCAGGGCTGTTTAATTTTTATGAAGTCTAATTTGTCTATTTTTTTTATTTTGTTGCCTGTGCCTTTGGTATCATTTTTAAAAAATCATTGCCAAATCCAGCACCATGAAGTTTTTACAGTATGTTTTCAAAGAATTTTATCATTTTAGGTCTTATATTTAGGTCATGAATCCATTTTGAGTTAATTTTCATATGTGGCATTAGGTAAAGGTAGGACTTCATTCTTTTGCATGTGGCCTTCCTATTTTCCTAGCACCATTTGTTGAAATGATTGTCTTTCTTCTGATCGAGTTGTTCTGGCATCCTTGTTTAAAATTATTTGACTATATATGTGAAGGTTTATTTCTGGGCCCTCTATTTAATTCCATTGGTCTATGTATTTGTCTTTATGCCAGTACTACACTGTTTTGATTACTGTAGCTTTGTAGTAAGTTTTGAAACTATGAAGTGTGAGTCCTCCAGCTTTGTCCTTTTTCAGGATTGTTTTGGCTACTTGGGGTCCCTTGAGTTCCATATGGATTTTTAGATGGGTTTTTCTACTACTCAAAAAACATCATTGGGACTTTGATAAGCATTACATTAAATCTGTAGATCAATTTGGGTGTTACTGATGTCATAACAAAAATCAGTCTCCCAATCCATGAACATGAGTTGTCTTTCCATTATTTGAGTATTCTTTAATTTCTTTCAGAAATGTTTTTGTATTTTTCATCATATAGATCTTTCACCTCAATTAACTTCTAAGTATTTTTTTATGATATTCTAAATGGAACTGCTTTCTTAATTTCTTATTTAGATTGTTCACTCTTAGTGTATAGTAATGTAACTGATTTTTGTGTGTGTTGACTTTGTTTCCTGATACTTAGTTGAATTCATTTATTAATTTTAAGGTTTTTGTTTGTGATCTTTAGGGTTTTCTACATAAAAGACCATGTAATCTGTGAACAGAGATACTTTTACTTCTTTCTAACCAATTTGAATGCCTCTTAGTTATTTTTCTCACCTTCTTCTTCTGGCTAGAGTTTCCATTACTTTGTTGAATAGAAGAGGTCAAAGCAGGAATTATTTCCTTGTTCCTTATAGAGGAAAAGCTTTCAATCTTTCACTATCAAAGATGATGTTCATTCTGGGTTTTTCATGGATTGCATTTTATTACATTGAGGTAGTTTCCTTCTATTCCTAAGATATTTAGTGCTTTTTTCATAAAAGGGTTTTGAATTTTGTGAAAGGCTTTTAATGTATTTATTAATATGATCATGTAGGTTTTTGTTCATTTTGTTAATGTGGTGTCTTACATTGATTGATTGATGTTGAAACATCCTTATATTCCAGGAATAAATCCCACTTGCTTATGGTGTACAATCCTTTTAACATACTGTTGAATCCTGTTTTTAAATATTTTTTTGAGGATATTTTAGTACCAACTTTCATAAGGAATATTGAGCTATAGCTTTATTTTCTTGTAGTGTCTTTGTCTGGCTTTGGTATTAGGGTAATGTTGGCCTCAGAAGGAGTTAGAAAGTGTTCCCTCCTTTTCAATTTTTGAAGAAGTTTGAGAAAGATTGGCATTATTTCTTTTTTAAATGCTTGGTAGAATTCACTAGTGAAGCCACTGGTTCAAGGGCTTCTCTTTGTCAGAGTTTTAAAATTGCTGATTCAATTCCCTTAATGGTTATAGGTCTCTTCAGATTCTATAGCTATTTTCTTTGTGGTTATTATGGAGATTGCATTTATTATCTTAAAGTTATAACACTCTAATTTGGGTTTATATCAGCTTAACTTCAGTAACATACAAACACAGCCTTTTAATTTTTATTTATTATTATTATTATTATTATTATTATTATTATTATTTTATCCTCACCTGAAGATATTTTTCCATTGCTTTTCAGAGAGAGTGGAAGGGAGAGAGAAAAAAAGAGAGGAACATTAACATGAGAGAGAGACACATAGATTGGTTGCCTCTTGCACTCGCTCCAACTGGGGATGAAGCCTGCAACTGAGGTACATGCCCGTGGCTGGAATTGAATCTGGGACCCTTCAGTCCACAAACCAATGCTCTAACCACTGAGCCAAACCAGCTAGGGCCAAACACTGCTTTTTATTTTTATTTATTATTATTATTTTTCAAAATACATCTTTATTGATTTCAGAGAGAGGAAAGGAGAAGGAGAGAGAGAGATACAAGCCGCCTCTTGCAGGCCCCGTACTGGGGACCAAGCCCGCAACCCTGGCATGGGCCCTGACCGGGAATCGAACCCCGATCGCCTGGATCCCAGGTCGACGCTCAATGGCTGAGCCACGGCTGGCCGGGCCAAACACTGCTTTTTATAAACAGTTCTGTCTGATAATACTTTTTCAAGGAATCTATACTCTCATTTGTCTTTTCCTTGAGGATAGCAGTGTGTAGCCTTTTATTTTCATGATCATTACCATGATAATGAAGTCCATGGTCAAGTACTCTTTTGTTCAGTTAAGTGTCATCTGGTTATTGTAATTACATTTTTCTAATATTGAGAATATCTTCAAATTGAGCATTTTTCATCAAAAGAAAGAGGATGAAACAATATAATATGGTTTGTGGTTGAAATTATATTTAAGGATCATTGTAGTTCTCAGTATTAATGCTTGATAATTATATAATTTTCAGTTAAATTAGGTACATCTTAAAAGGTAAAATAAGCTTTTAACTGTAGAAAATAAAGTATGTTTAATTCAACAGTTTTATGTTTAAGATATTTGAATGCCAGTGGATTACGGTTAGCATTTATTCTGTTTTCTTAGTAGTAATAAAATGTATCCCAAGGAAATTTATAATACATTAAAGTACCTTGTACTTCCAAGTATTGCTGGTATTGTTTAAATCTGATATTTAAAAAAGTTCTAAATTCTGAATTTGCTTCATTTTGAGAATAAGAGGATATTGAAGTATCTTATGTTGCTGTACCTTTTGTAATTAAGTAATTATTACACTGAGCTATTGAAATTATATGCTTATATTTAAAAATTAAAATATTATCATTTGTATTTTAATTATCAATTTAAACAATGATTTGGGCTTTCTGATTAGGAAGATATAATAGATTAACCCTTATTAATATTAATATCCTTAAATTTTTATAGTGCTGGCAGTAGAAATGTTAAGGACATTCTTTTAAAAATTGGCTAGCCCGGCTGGGCTTGGCTCAGCGGTTGAGCATCGACCTAGGATCCAGGCAATTGGGGTTTGATTTCCGGTCAGGGCACATGCCCGAGTTGTGGGCTGCAGCCGATCAGTGACTCTCTCATCAATGATGTTTCTATCTCTCTCTCTTTCTCTCTCTGAAATCAATAAAGATATATTTAAAAAAATAAAATAAAATAAAATAAAATAAAAATCAGCTAGTGATAGTTTACAATCACATACTCAAATTTTGATTTAGCTATGGGATTCTTATTATGAACTGAACTGAAGCTGAAAAAGAAATTTATTAATATGTTTTTCTCAAATAGTTTCTTCTGAAAACATAATTACATTAGATTTACATTTAAAATGTTGACAATGGATTATCAAATTTTCAGATATATGTACTTTATATTGATTCAATATTATTTAACTGAAATATGAGAATGTTTTGTCTTAATAAGAAAAAGTTAAAAATGTGTAAGTTCCTTAAAATTTGACATAGGAATGAAGATTCAGTGGACACTAATTCAATTTGGAATAATGACTTAAAAGTTATATAACAAGCAACAAAGGAAAATGTTCCAAATATCATTATTGTATGATTTAAATACCAGAAAATGGTTTTTTATACATTGAAAGAATCTTAAATACATTTCATCAAAATTTGTAAATATTTCATATGTAAGTACTTGGTAATGATATATGATTTAAAAAATAAACACCGAAACTATCCTAGGATAAGGTGAATTTTAGTGGTCTAAGTGCCTTATTTTAAAACTACAGTGTGCAGTTATGTGTATTTAATAATACAAACATATGAGCTGATAGGTTATTTTAAATAAAAAGACTTAGTTATTTGTGCATATCGTGATTTCCCCAAATCCAACTGCAATAGTTTTAAAGGAAATATTGAATTACGTACTCTCAAATGACATTTGAAATGTCTGGGACTTTAAAAGGACATAAAATTGAAAGATTGCCTTCAGTAAATTCCAAATGAATATAGAGACTTTTGGAAATCAATGAGTAGCTCCAAATTCTACACTATCAGCCACATGATGTCGCTGTATACCACAAAGTCTTGACAATGTAAATGTACTGATCGCCAATACAAAAGGAGGAAGCTCCATTTTGTCACCGCCCGAGAGAAGACGGAAACGCTAAGGAGATAAATTATTAAAAATATGAAGTAAAAAGGCATGATTTTGAAGTAAGGTGAAAGAGGTACGCAAGGTGTAGCGCTTTTGCGATGCTGTATCCCAGGCGAGGAGGCAGGGGAGCCCGGCGCCTGCTGCTCTCGCTTCTGCTCTTCTCGCTCTGGGAGGCTGGGGTCAGCCAGGTCCGCTACTCGGTCCCCGAGGAGGCCAAGCACGGCGCCTTCGTGGGCCGCATCGCGCAGGACCTGGGGCTGGAGCTGGCGGAGCTGGTGCCGCGCCTGTTCCGCGTGGCGCCCAAGGGCCGCGGGGACCTTCTGGAGGTGAATCTGCAGAATGGCATTTTGTTCGTGAATTCTCGGATCGACCGCGAGGAGCTGTGCGGGCGCAGCGCGGAGTGCAGCATCCACCTGGAGGTGATCGTGGAGAGGCCGCTGCGGGTTTTCCACGTGGAGGTGGAGGTGACAGACATTAACGACAACCCGCCGATATTTCCAATGGCGGTAAAGACCATCCGGTTTCCCGAATCGAGGCTGCTTGACTCGCGGTTTCCTCTAGAGGGAGCAACCGATGCAGATATCGGAGCAAACGCTCTTCTTTCGTACAAGCTCAGCTCCAGTGAGTATTTCTTTCTAGATGTACAGACAAATGATGAACTAAGCCAGTCTTTGTCACTTGTGCTTAGGAAATCTCTGGACAGAGAGGAAACTGCCGCGGTTAATTTGTTACTGGTGGCTACTGATGGCGGCAAACCTGAGCTCACAGGCACGGTTCAGTTGCTTATTAACGTATTGGATGTGAATGACAATGAACCTACTTTTGACCAATCAGTTTACAAAGTGCAATTGTTAGAGAACACCGCCAACGGAACGTTAGTGATCAAACTAAATTCTTCTGATGCAGATGAAGGACCAAACAGCGAGATTCTATATTCATTTAGTAGTGATTTACCCTCCACTATAAAGACCAAGTTCAAAATAGATCCCAGGATAGGGGAAATCAGAACTAAGGGACAATTAGATTACGAAGAAACGAAATCCTACGAGATTCAAGTCATTGCATATGACAATGGAACTCCGTCAATGACTGGGCACTGTAAAATTTCAGTAAGAATTGTGGACGTCAATGATAACACACCGGAAATCTCAGTAACATCTCTTTCACTTCCGATCAGAGAGGACGCTCCTCCGGGCACAGTAATCGCCCTCATCACGGTGTCCGACCGCGACTCAGGTGTCAACGGGCAGGTGACCTGTTTACTAACACCTCATGTCCCTTTCAAGTTGGTGTCCACCTTCAAGAATTACTATTCGCTGGTGCTGGACAGCGCCCTGGACCGCGAGAGCGTGGCGGACTATGCTGTGGTGGTGACCGCGCGGGACCGGGGCTCGCCTTCGCTGTCGGCCACAGCCAGCGTGTCCGTGGAGGTGGCCGACGTGAACGACAACGCGCCGGAGTTCGCGCAGCGCGAGTACACGGTGTTCGTGAAGGAGAACAACCCGCCCGGCTGCCACATCTTCACGGTGTCGGCGCGCGACCGGGACGCGCAGGAGAACGCGCTGGTGTCCTACTCGCTGGTGGAGCGGCGGGCGGGCGAGCGCGCGCTGTCGAGCTACGTGTCCGTGCACGCGGAGAGCGGCCGCGTGTACGCGCTGCAGCCCCTGGACCGCGAGGAGCTGGAGCTGCTGCAGTTCCAGGTGAGCGCGCGCGACGCGGGCGCGCCGCCTCTGGGCAGCACCGTGACGCTGCAGGTGTTCGTGCTGGACGAGAACGACCACGCGCCCGCGCTGCTGCCGCCCGGGGCCGGCG